AGCATTTTTATGTAAGTGGTTACCTTATGCAAACACAAAATTTACATTCTTAAGTAATATCAAACTGTCAGTCTCGTCTTCTTACATATTTCAAAAAACACGCAATTTTCAGGCGATGCTTGTAATAAGAACTATGGATACTCAATTATTTTGATGGTACTGAGAAAGTAGTTCATTACTTTTATTACAGACATTTCTTTCATACTATTTCTTTTTTTCGTTTCAACTTCCTCCCATTAAAAGTAGGAAGGAAATAATTGTAATGAATGGAAATATTGAAGTTTTTTTCTTAACAAAAAGTTATTTGATGTATATAAAAACGAGTAATTTATTATTTCACTTTATTAATATTACAATTAATTTTACCTTTGAGTGCATCTTCTGGTAGGAATAGACAACAGACCCATCATTGAACCAACATTGGGACTGGGATGAAATTTTCATCTAGTTGATGGTTCTGTACTTAACTATGACTAGATGATTACTTCAATTACTGGCGAGTCTCGTATATATCCTATTAAGGTCGTTATTGTATTTCTCAATATACATATAAGTCCTTCAGTTGATTGTTTTAACTTTAAGCAAAAGTCAATAGTCAATTGGATATAGAACATAAGCGCATTTACGTTTAGAGCACTTTCATGTACCAAAAAGTTATACGAAACCGGAAAAGCAAGTAAATCCCTGATCAAAAAGAATAGTATACTATAGTATAATCTATAGATTAAAATAGCATTAGTGCTTAATTCGATGTTTAATCAACGAATATAACAATGAGACAACCAAACAAAAATTATTTTAAGCTGATATTTAATCAGATTGACATTAACCACATTCGAGTTTATTTCATGACTGCAAAATATTCTTGCTCAATTTAAATCAGTCTTAAATCGAATTTTTACTTCAGAAGTTAATATTTATCTTCAACTTAGGTATCATACAGTGCCTAAAGGTAATATTATTTTTTTTTCTTTTCAAGAAGAATAGCTAGCACTGAAGTTAGTAGTCCACCATGTAACGAAGAATAATTTTGATATTAATTGATTCAACCGGAAACTTTAGTGAGAGCCTAAATTTCGTAACAACGTTTGATAATGTTAACATTCCTAAGGTATTAAGGGTTTTCATTTCCAGAGTATAAATAACTGAAATTTCAAGTGGTTTGTAAAAGTTCGATTAATATTTGATATCGAATACTTCCTTCTAAGCTTATTCAATGAATGTTTTATACTCACTTTGAAAATTTCTGTTAATAATTTTTAATATTAATTAATTCAGAGCATGCAAATTATTTTAGCTTATTAGACGATCATCAAGTCAATTTTTTAAGAATAATTTCAATATTTATATCGTTAATAGGGATTTGTTTTCAAAAAAAAAAAAAATTTAATTAATTTAATATTTAATTTTTATCAATTTTGTAATAAGAATTATAGAAACTCTGGATGAACTGAATATTTTATGAACGAATTAATGAATCTGGAGTATGTTTTATTTCTATGTTGATAAAATTACTGAAAATATGCTAGCATAAAATTGATATAATATTTAACGTTATCAACACAATTTATTTTTTTCCACAGTTCAATCACGTTTTTTGCTGTGCAGCGTGTCAGCTGGTACTGAATTTAATAATAGAATAATAAAATTACACGCGCAAGGTGCGAGTTAAGTTAAGAGGAAAAGAGAATGGAAGCGAATTTAATTCATACGTATTTCTTTATAACAATTGCATTTTTAGTAAATGATAAAAAAAATGTTAGAAAAAGAAAAAAAAACGACGCAGCCGGCATGCATTTTTTTTCTGAACGAATTTGGAGTATATAGAAGACAAGAAAGATGAAAAAGAAAAAAGACTATGAAGAGAATAAAAAAAAAAAACCATCCGCGGTTTTACCACGAGTTACACAATAGTTAGACTCCCTGCTACTTTTTCACAATAGGCAGAGAAGAGTCAACCTAATAACTATGACCAAGCACAAGGAATAAATTTTTCTCTCAGTTCGTTACAAAATGGACGATTTCTGATTATATTCTCTTTTATCTAGTCTCTTAAATAACTTCAGCTGGTACTTAAACTCTTCAGTCTGTGAAGTAATTCTTAATAAGGAAAAAAAAAGGTATAAAATATTACTATTCACATTCTTTCTTTATAAATCACATGAAATCCTTAATTAAATTTTTATCATAGGTTTTATGAGAATATTACGACATTCATGACAAGTGATGTTGCAGAATCACATAATTATAGCTGACACACAAAGAACATTGTTAAAGTACAATAATTATGTTGGAATTAATTAAATTTTTTTTACGCCTAATATGTATTTATTTTTATTTAACTTTTAAAAAAAAAATTTTACAATAAAAATTACAATGAAATACGTAAAAAATTGATATTTGAATTTTATGAAAAATAATTTAATTATCTTTTATCAAGTTAAAAAATTGTTGAGTATGCAGAATATTGTGAGGTAGAAATCATTTATTAAAATGAAATTTTTTATATTTGCAAACATTACAAATTATAATAAAATGAAATAAAAAATTTCAGTGGAATAATCAATATTTGTTCCGCCAAACATTCCACGTTTTATTTATTATTTAACAGTATATTATTAGGTATTTAATTATTGGAGGAATAAGCGTTATAATGATGTGAAAAATATACATAAAGAACACAACCTTAGTACAGTTGTGAAAGTCAAAAAATATTTTTCCGTAGCAAAACCAGTCATTTTCACCGCAGCATCAATTCCCAAAGGAAAAATGAAATTCACTAAATCCCTAAAGCCCAGTACAAATATCCAGTAAATCAGACTTCCTTTTTACTATCATCCCTCTCTAGTTCTTATTAACATTTCCACTCTTCCATATAATTATTATGCATTGCTATGCAAATAGATTGACATTTAATGAACCCCTGGTAACCAGTTTGTAGTAGATGGGATGTAGGTAGGTAGACAAAACTCGGGCTCAATTTCCAGTGTAAAACCGAATGAAAAAGCGTCCACGTAAAATTGTTACATGCTGTCGCATTGAGCAAGCTGAAATGTCACCAAACTAAACTCAGTGAAAAGGGAGAATTGAAAGAGTGAGGGGCGAAAAAACATGGAAACAAAAACGCTTTTGCACTCTTGCTATCCTCCAATTAGCGGCATCGAGGCATGTCCGAGCTTAATTTTCATGTATGCACATGTGTACAATCATAGTATAAATTTTCTCGTTACACTGTGACTCTGGCTCTCACAAACAATCATTCTAGATAAAAATAAACCAAATTGTAAAAATCAAATCGAATTCCCAATAGCATGAACAGAAAATAAACGAGAGTGTAATTCAACCCAAGCATTTGTGTACATTTTGTGAATGTCCAATAAGAGGAAGGTTCCTCTGACAAAAAATTATGGATACCCAAGAGGATAAAAGCCGAGAACGATCTTCAAGCCGTTAAATTTTATGATCCTAACGACGCCCCTATCGTTTTCCGTGTCATACCAATATTCCTGCATTTTCAAAGTACCACATCGCAAGTTACGAACTACTCGGCGATGTTATCAACCATACCACGCTTCTGTAGTTCAAAAAAAAAGTAGTGAAATATTCCAATTGTGGGCAGCCAAATGTGGAATAGCGCATTGAGAAAAATGCAGAGGAAAAGTGAGATAAATTTCCTACTGAATATTCGAAAAAAAGCCAGCTTTACTTTCATTATAAATATCTTCAGTGAAAAGAATTCGTATTAATTCAAATTCATTTCCAGACGAATAAATTCATTTAAAAAACTTTTACATAATCTAGTCCATACACGTAATTAAGCATTTTACTCATTCATTCTATAAAAGTTATTATAATATCTTTATCTATGTCCACTTTCAACATATGTATCTTTTTTATACCTGCCATTTACTCCAAGTTTATAAAATTACAATTCTTAAATTTATCATAATAAATTAAAAAAAAGTTCCTTCCAATTTGTCGATTCGAATGTGTATTTATGTTTTATATTACATTACTCTTCTTGCCTATATTTATGCATTCAACAGGATTTATCAAGTTTTCTCAACTATATTCAAAGATCATTTCCATTTTCATATGAATGTATTTACATATTTTCTAGTACTTTTGTAAATTGTTTATTTTTCTTAGCATCATATTATATTTAGACATTGAGTCATTTCATTTCTATCTGGAATAAAAAACTTTATTTTTCTTCCAGTCAAAGAATAACATAATGGATGCCAATATTGTTTTTCAGATTATCTGATTATCATGCCATCAGTGCCTTACCATGCATGAACTTGAACATCTATCAGTGCACTGATTAATTTTTTATATTCATATAATTCTAAAAAAAAAAAAAAACATTCTTCCCTGATACTCCAATATTAGTAGTATGCTTGGATATTTGTGTAAAATTTTTCTGATCAAAAAATAATTTCATCATTACTTTTATCTTAACAAAACCACTAGCTTTATCACTTCTATTGTACTAATATTGCTGTCTACTGTCTTGTTAAACTAGTCGTGACAACAAATATCAACACTAGTTTTTATTCTTCAAGTTCCACCCCAAACAGATAGTCATGGTCAATGTGCCATGAAATGCATTGTAGCGTTAATCGTCTCTTTTACGGCTTATAAAGTTGTAATAGTAAGTGGACATCACTAAAAAAAATATCTAACTAGACTATAACAATCCTAAGTAGAGTCATAACAACTCCATTTCTACCTCTATCAGCTACATCATTTTTTAAAGGATTTACTACTCATAACATCATAATTTACTATTTACATACCTCAGTAAAAATACAATCACATACGTCGTAGGTTTGAAAGATGGTTGTCGTGAATTTCAAGAGTAGGGAAATAAAAATAAAAATTTGTTAACAATCACATTTTTATTGTCTATATACAAACACCAACATATCGAGAATTCGATTCGATATCAGTCAGTGAAAGTCATAAAATTATTTTAAAACATTAAAGTCATTCTTTCTTTTCTCTTTTTCCATTATATACAACTTTCTTGAACACGTAAACTTTTTGTATAAATGTCATGAACACGATGCACTGGCAAAGTACTTGGGCGGGTGGGATTTATCACATCAGATCGATCAACGTAACTATTAGGATAAATCCACGTATCTTTACCATGAAGCACAGTTGCTGGAGATGGATAATCAAGATCTTCCAAATGATCATCAAAATCTTTTGTTTCTTCTGCTTTTAGTGAGTAGGTGGCATTGAAACGAATCTCTGGTCGTTTTTCTAATTTATTTGGTATTAAATCAGGATTTTCATCTGTTTCTAGAATGCCTTTTTTAATATCCTTTGTTAGATGAGATATAGGCTTAGAAACATCTTTAACACTCTTACATTCGACATCTTTGCCAAATGTCGACAACGTTTGATTGCCATGATTGTCTTTGTCTTCACAATGCACTACATGTGTTTGAGTTTTGATTGGAGGCATTGGATGATTACGACGGTATAAAGTGAGAGTAATTCCTACCACTAAAATACAAACTGCTGTTATACCACCAGCAAAACAAGCAACCAGCAAACTGTAGTCATCCGTTTTATCCGAGCCCCGACCTGTAATAACAGTGTGAGAAATAAAGAAAATGTATCAGAGATCTAAAGTTAAGTCTATGAAAAAAATTTTTATGCTTCTATAATATTTTATACTTATTTTAGTACATAGTTTGGATTATTACGATAGCCGATTTTCATTTTTAAGATTACATTATCAACTCAGTCTATTCAAATTAATCAGTAAATGTCCATGATTGATTAAGGACTCTAAGATATCTATTCGTATGAAAAAAATTTTACTTCTCTACGCCAAATGTACTTTAGATGTTTCATACTTGCAAAAACAATATATAAAATGGAACTAATGGACTAATGATATATTAGCATAACTTGATTTCCTGCCAATAACTCAGGATCTACGAGGCCTATATAGAAAAGAGGCATATCAATAGATTCGTGAGAATGAGATCTTTTTATTGCACTAGTTAAAATCATAATTAGAAAATAATTTTTGCAAAAATTAAAGCAAGTTCCCGTTTTACCCCATTTTAAGAGTGAAATAATTAATTTTTCATATGTTCGACCTGATTCCGCATTTCTATACATTGAGACGAAGAGAATGAGAGGTCAAACTTGAAAATCGGACAAATTTGATTTTTCGACCCCAAAAAATGGCAAGTGGAAAAATTTCTTTTACCCCTAAACTCGCTAAAATATTTTAAAGAATCACATTTTTTCGGGAGTTTGCCAAATATTTTGGCAATTTTGAGGGTGAAGAAAATTTTTTAAACATTTTTTATGAATATGTATGTGTAGCTTAGATTCTGAAGTTTCCAAAAACCTCCTTACAATCATCATTCTATGACTTGTATGGGAGTTATAGCAGTCCGAAGTCGAAGAATAGACGATTTTTCGATCTTACTTCGACTCTGGACCGCTATAACTCCCATACAAGTTGTCTAATAATAATTTTAAGGATGTGTATGAAAACTTCAGAATCTAAGCTAAAGATAAATATTCATGAAAAACGTTTAAAAAATTTATTTCATCCTCAAAATCGTCAAAATAGTTGGCAACTTCCAAAAAAAATGTAATTTTTTTTTATATTTTAGCGATTTTAAGGGTGAAATAAATTTTTTTAACACTTTTCATGGATATGCATATTTAGCTTAGATTTTGAGCTTTTCAAAACATCCTTTAAATCAGTAATTGGACCATCCGTTCATGAGTTAGAAGGGTTTAAAGTTAAGGGGATGATAATTCGTATTTTGTATATAGTGTAACTGGTTTTTAAGGGTGTTAAAGTGAATTTTCTTGACCAGTGCCCCGATTTCGCATTTCTACGCATCAAGACGAAGAGAATGAGCCCTCAATCATCAAAATCGGAGTACCTTTATTTTTTGGCCAAAAAAAATGGAAAGGGGTACCACTTGCCATTTTTTGGGGTCGAAAAATCAAAGTTGTCCGATTTTCAAGTTTGACCTCTCATTCTCTTCGTCTCAATGTATAGAAATGCGGAATCAGGTCGAACATATGAAAAATTAATTATTTCACTCTTAAAATGGGGTAAAACGGGAACTTGCTTTAATTTTTGCAAAAATTATTTTCTAATTATGATTTTAACTAGTGCAATAAAAAGATCTCATTCTCACGAATCTATTGATATGCCTCTTTTCTATATAGGCCTCGTAGATCCTGAGTTATTGGCAGGAAATCAAGTTATGCTGTCGCAACGAAAAAAAAAATTTTGTTCCCTAAACGTTCTCCATAGATCCACGAGCGGAGCGAAATCCCTCACACTTGTAATTATAATAGATATTGTTTAAAATTAGTTTTTTGTAAACTAAATTCTAATTATTATTTTCAGAAAAAAATATTTCGTAAAATACAATCAAAAATAATATTGATTTAAAAAAATAAATGCAATTGTAATATAATAATGTCAATGAAAAAAAAAGAATTGCAAAATTTGATTTGAGACTATCGTATGTACTATTGAGTTCAAACATCTAGGATATTTCTTGTCGGCAATTTATTTTCCTCATCGTTATTGCAAAAAGAACATGGCATTTTTCCAACCAGAATTGAAATGATTTTCAATACAATATAGTTCTAAAGCGTGAGAGTCGATATTTCATTGAAATCTTGAATTCAGTATAAAGTAACACATTCAATTGTGTAATTGCATGTTACTATTCTACAATACACTTCAAATAATAATGCTCCAACGTTCTATAAATTAATTGTAATAATCTTAAGCAACTAAAATATTAAATGTGAACGTCATCACGATGGAAGTAATTTTTCCAGAATTGTTAAAAGTTGAAAAATAAGTTAAATCTTTATAAGAAACAGCATAAAACATGAAAAATCTAGAAAGATGAAAGACTCATAACTACCTATGCTGCTAAATCTTCAAGCATTCGTTATTTAATTATATTTCATGCAATTCTGTATCACAACGACAAAGGAATTCATTATAATAAAAGCTTGGTTTTAAAAACTAATATTTTCGTTATTTAGTACAAGTAAACGGTATCATTAAAATACTATTTGTTAACTGCTAAGATAATTAGAAAAATAATTAAATTGTCAAAAGAGTTTAAATTCTTGAAAAAACTTGCAGTGATTTTGTTTGCATTATCAATAAAAGCATCTTGGAAAGTAATGCAGTTACATAAATTTCAATTTCAAACTTACCAGTTGTGTACATGGCTACTCCTTTTAACGTAATTGATTCCAAAACTACAGGATCACTTTTCCCTTTGGCATTTACTGCATAAAGCAATAATCTATAATTTCGACCAGGTTCTAGATTAGGAACATCAAAGACTGGACCCTGTTGTGAAGTCAATATCTTTTCACTACGATTCAAATAGATTGTGCTTATATGATGTACATTCTCTTCATTATAAACTTCTAGTTCATAACTTGTAAGTGGTAAACCTCCATCGAAGCCTTCGAAACATCGAACTATCAACCATTCAGTGTCTCCTGGATCAACTGATTTCAAGTTTTCTGAACCTGGAAAGTAAATCATCACTCATCATATCTACATTCATTACTAAATTAAACAATAGTATTTCCACGCTATATAATTAGTAATCATAACGATGAACAATTACCATTAATTGATATCTTTTTATAATATTTATCTACATGAGTGGAATAGACTAATAATAGAATACGACTCACAGAAAAAACGAGACTCTATTATTAGATAGCATAATTAAATTATAGGCGCCATGATTATTTTTATCAACTTTTATACCTACAATACTTCTCAATAGACCAACAACAGTTTAACAAAGATTTAACGTAGCCGAATCTAGATAAAATTATCTCTGTTTGAGCACTGAATAACCAACGTAAAGAGTGTTTTCTTAAGCAGATAAAGAAACTAGAGATTCAGGTTTACTCTCATGGTCTTGTAAAAGTTAGAGTTTTACCTCGCTTAAGTATAATATGATTGTTGAATGAATAATAAATATTCTAACTTGACTATTATTATTTTCATTAATAAAATGATATATTTAACGATAATGAATATCTACTAACTCACTAAATTAATTTTAATTTGAACGTTCATCTCTTGCTAAGTTTGATTAATTTATATTTAATCAAATCTGTCCATTGAAAGAATTAAAAATAATATTTTAATGATTTATTGGAAAAACCAAAGTATTGGGAATAAATATTTTAGCAGAATAAAGTATAATAGGTTAGACAGTTTTAGACACAGAATTGATAATGCCTGAAGCGTGGATTAGTTTAAACTGTCACGTGGATTTTTTTGAGAACAACAAGGCGTGCATTGTGACTCGTCACTATGTGATTGAAAGTCACGTAAAAAAAAAAAAAAACTATGTGATATATTTCACAATTGCCCGAGGCTGTTCCGAGTCATCTTCACACAGTTCTGCCATTCGATAATCAATAGGAGGATGACATTTGATCTTTCACAAATATTTATCTAAATATATATATTTTTTCTTTTACATCAAAAAGAACATTTCATAAATATTTGAATAATTACACAAAACTTCTTTCTTTGGAGACATTCTTTTCTGACCCTAAAGGGAAATTGTAAGTTGACTAAATAAAAGTACTCCATTTGATGTTACGTATCTCATTTCAACTGTAACTCACCCTACTTTGCTTTGATAAGAAAAAGAAAAAAAACATTTTTACCCAGTAATGAGGCTTATCTTAACAAAGATTTCCTCCGAGTGTACTTACTAGTATGATAGCCATAAGGACTAGTTGACTGAGCTGCTGAACAATTTTGCAGAGGATAAGGCCTTCCAGCGACAATTATCTGAAAGAGACACGGTGTCCTTTGCACACCTATCCTATTTCGGGCCCAGCAGGATACTGTTCCATAGTCAGTATCAGAATCGAGCGTATAGTTTAGTCTTGAGCCATGCCATTGGTTCGTAATACGTTTCAATGGCTTGACTGGACCGAAACGATCTGGCGGCATGGACATTAACTCGCCAGAGTTATTAAACGTCCAATGAAACGATTCAGGTGGTGGTTTAGCTTGAACACCGCATACCAGTGATATTGTCTCGTGTTTCAAGGCACCCACAACTTGAGCTAGTGAACCATCTTTACATATTGGAGCATCTGAAATGTGATCAGTTAAATCTCACTGGGTTTCATTCATTAATTGTTTCTCTATCATAGTATTTACGGATATTAATATGAATTTGCACACAATCTTACACATTATTTCTAGAGTGACTGGTTTGCTGGTAGCACTTCCTTCAGAATTGACAGCTGTGCATGCATACTCTCCAGCTGAGGCCCGACTGACACTTTGAAGTACCAACGATTGTCCTCCTGGTAATATTATTCCCGCACTCACATTCTGATGAAGTTCCTTTCCATCTTTATACCAACTTAATTTATATGCTTTTGGATTTGCTTTTACTTCACATTCAAAATAGACATCATCACCCTCATTTATATCATTAGCACGTAGACTTGATCCTAATTTAATTGACACAACTGGAACATCTACAGGTTGAAAAGAAAAATATTTATCTTCTTACATTTTTTTCTAATTTCGTTTTCTTTTGAAAATACTTTGAGATATGTAAACACACTGCTTTACATTAAATAAATTTTGTAATCAACTTTACTTTTTGTGCACTAAGAAACTTTAATGGATTTTTTTTTTTTGATAATGTAAGAAGTTTAACATCATTAGAAAAGCTATGTAAATTTTAGAAACCAGAATATGAATGAATATACTGGGCTTACAATGTACAATAAGCTTCCATTTATCCTCAACAGCACTATCAGGAACCAATGGATTTTCTGCTCGACACATAAGATATTTTCCATCGTCCTCAATAATTGCCGCATAACTTAAAACACTTCTGGTAACGTTAGGAGTATCCGCAAACTAAAGAAGGTAAATAGCAATCAAAATTAATTAAATATTCAGAATTAATTTAATGGAAATGATCATGTAAATGGTTGTTTACTTTCTTGGCCATATGTTTGACTTGATGCGAGCCCTTCCACCAAGTAATTACGGCTTCCGGTTTAGATCCTGATGTTATACACTCGATTTCGTATAATTGAAGAGCAGAAACGTAATTACTTTTATTTGTTATATTAACCTCCAAAGGTTTCACTAAAGAACCAAAGTTATATTACTCAATAAAGCTGTTTTTTTCAATTATTTTTAGTACTTACAATTCATATCTAAAATAATGCTCTCATTTACTGGAGGTATCAGGTGAGTATTAGAAGCTCGACAAGTCAATTTTGATTTCATAAAACTTCTTGTTACTCTTTCAATGTCTAGCCTACTGATAGTAGTATCATCATTTTCTCTTTTGTAAGAATCTTCCAACATCTTGTCACTCAAGTACCAACTAACTCGTGGAGGAGGAGATCCTCCTATTACTTCACACACTAACGTTAGTGTGCTATCCTCATTTATAGGCTGAAGTGTCTTTGTATATATCCTTTCTTGTCCAACAAATATCGATGGTTTTTGAGGCGGAACTGTGGAATAAATATTGACAAAAAATTCAACTCATGATCAATTTTAAATTATTCAGTAGAACTGACAAATTTATAGTTCGTGACTTGACAATGTCTGCAAAATGTATGCATCTTCAAGTAGAAATAGCTTTGCCAAGATCAAAATTTTTCAATCGATTTTTCTCGTGAAAGCTCAAACGATTTCATGCATGATAAAATAACTGACGTTTTAAAATAATCAATTGTTTTAGAGATATGTGCTTTGAAAAAAAGAAAATCAACATTAACTGATTCTGGAAAATGTCTAGTTTTTTTATATATTTCATGTACGTGCTTTTTTTTTTGTTCTTATATAGAAATGGATAATCAAGAATTATAAAATATGTGCAGATAAAACTTTGAAAACAAATCCATCGATCTATACTAACCGAAGGATTTTTGTATATTTTATAAAACATGAAATCCAGATAAGTTCAACTCTAAAGATCTTCAAAGGTACATTTTTCCATTCGATTTGCTATCCCAAACATCATTATATGATTATTTCTACAAACCAGATAATAATCAATGAAGCAAATAGCTCTTGGGCATTCAGTCCTCACAAATAATTTAGAAATAAATTTACATAAAATTAAAAACACATTATATAACATAAAATAGTAAAAAAAAATCAATCAAATAAATTTAAAAATATTTATACTCATGAATTGCAATTTTACAGTCATAACAAATGAAGTTGTTCATTCGTTTTTAATTAAAGAAAAATTGATTTACCCTAGAGTGGGTTTTTTATGATTAAAAAAAAAAATATTTATAAAATAATCTTACCGATAACAGTTAAATTGATTTTTTGATTTTTCGTTGGACTATCTCGAAAGTCAACTCGACACTTGTACACTCCAGCATCTGTTGAGATCAAAGGATCGACCTCAAGCTCAACCAACTCCGTGTCTACCCTCATGCTTGCTCGATCACCGAACCATTCTTGGTCTGACCAATGCCTCGCACCATGTTGAAGCCCGCTGCCACGAGCGTCCACGCTGAAAATCGGATGTCTCTCGATCGTTTCACGATACCACAGGATCGTCACTACTATATCACTTCTATGAGGTAGACTAATGTTGCATGGTAAACGTGTTTTGTGGCCTGCTACTCCAATTACTTGCTGAAGTGGAACTGGAAAACAAATGACCTATAATTGATTGACTATCAAATTATTTCTATCTTAATACCTATTCAATTAGTCCAATATATTTGAATAGTGTTCGCTAAAAAAATTCAATAAAAATATCCAACTATGAAGACAAATATTCTTAATTTAAACATTATTTACATCGAAAGATTAATTATTTTTTATAAAAATATTCGTTGATTTTATTTGAAAAATAATTATATTATTTTTTGAATACAATATTCACTTGAAATAATAAATTTTTCTCTCAATTTTTTCAGAATTCCAAACTAGAGTCCGATATATAAAAGAGCTTTGTACTTTTTTATGAAATTAGCTTTGCTACATTTTCAATAATAAAGCTGATTTTCTCCTTTTACACTGTTGTAAATAAATTTAGAGTAATTGTTGAATGCGTTGAATTTGAAATAATTTTGTCATTCAACTGAAAAATAATTGAATGAATGAGTTGCATAATTTACTTTTGATAATTAAACGAACGGAAATTTCGACATAAGAGTACCAAGAGACACTTTATGCATGACGTTGGCGAATTTTTTGTCTAGATTGCAAAAATTACGTTTATATTCTCTTTTACTGTAGCTTTTGTTGGGTCGGGGTAACAGCAAATTACTGTAAATTGGCTAAAGCATGGTCAGCGTACGATGCAACACGGGAAATCACCAGTCACTGGTCTCACGAGAGAATCGATCTGTGGCAGTTTATAAGTATATATAGAACTGAATAAAATAACAACAGGAAAATCCCAAGTGAGGCCAATTAATCGTTCTCCCAATTTATGTTACCCAAAGTTACTATTTTATCGGTTATTCAACGTTCTATTTTCCTATCAATCAAATTGCATTATCCCCTAATCTCTACGGTCCACTTCTTTGTGTCACGTGCGATAATCACTGTATAACGACTACCGAGAGTGTTATTCATTTGGATCTATGTCATGAAGTTCAGGAAAAATTTCATCACAAAGAAACAAGCAATAATTGCTATTTTCTAGTGAGTATAATGTCAAAAATTCCTAGATGTCAAAGGTTGGAAATTGGACTCTATCTTCTGCTCTAATTGATCAAATTTTGCGCCATTAGTTTTTTTCTGCAGCACTCATAGCTTGATTGAAATGATAATAATAATAATCAAATAGTGATATCGTAATAATCCAATATTTCAATGATGAAATTAGAGGTAATTTTATTTTTTAACAAATATTTTAGTGTTGAAAATAAAACGTACTAGGTCAATGGATTAGTACCATTGTGACCTACGTATTTCACCTGATAAGTATCTTAAAACAGTATTCTATATTTTTTGTTTTGTTTATTTGTCCCTCAACGATTTATTTTTTAAGTTTCACTGATAATCTAAATCTAAAGAATAAGACCCTAGAGACCAATTCGACTTGGATAATGAGAGGTAGAGTAAATATTTTACAACAGATAAAAATAATCGATAAAAACAAATTATTCAGTTGATTCTATAAGTACTAACTTCAAAACTCATTACTTTCATCATTATGTTTCCTTTCCTAGAAAATTACTTGATTAATTCAACTTTGATTCTGAATAATGCTGAGCTGCATAAAAATATCTAATACTTAGTCGTGTGCCAAAGAAAAAAGTCGTAAGTATAAATCTTAAATTACTCCAATTCGCTACTTGCTGTTATTTTATAATTTAAATTATTATTCCAAGGATAATTATTTATATATAAAACTTAATCTCAATACTTCAATTCATTACATTAACATCATTTCGAGGAATTATAATTGCATGTTTATCTGTTTTCATCACAATTTCCTAACCACTAATCTCCAAAAAGCATGATTCTAATATTTGTATATTTCATAAAATTAATGTCAAAGTTTTCTTTTTTTTAAAAAAAGCTCAATGCACATGAAATCTATGGAATAAAAAAAAAAACCATGTTTCGTCGAGTATTTAAGTCAAATAAAAGCATATAGAATTCAAATATGACCGCAGTAATTTTTTTGATGAAGTTTGTGAAAGGATGATTGACAAAAACCTCAAAATAGAATTTTACCTTTTTCTCATTGCTCTGAAAAATGCTGGCCAAAAAAAAAACGAAAAAAAGCTTCCTATATGTAGCATAAAAATTATCGAGAAAATAATACTTACAAAAAAAGTCTCTTTTTCTGTTGTATATAATTAATTAAAAAATCAAAAAAAATTTCAACTTCTCATTAAGAAGTTATTATAATGAGATCGATTTTGGAAATTTGTAATTTTCTCATATCTTCACGTTTTGAATCATTTAAAAACATATTAGAAGGTTTAAAAATAAATGTACGTACGTAAAATTGTACGTACGTATGCCAGGTTTATTTGTTTTCGATATCTCGAGAACCATTAAAGATTTACTCTGTACAGATTTTATTTTAAAGATAACACAATGAAAAATATCTGCACTGTAAATCCAAGTGCATTCTTGTTACACATCTAGACGTGTTAAATACAACGTCACCCATTTCATTAACATTGTAATCACTTCTTGGTGTGAAAGGAGTTTGAACAAATTCAGTCCAGTCTTTTTTTTTATAACATTTAATGATTAATATTGTTGGAAATTGAAGTTAATGTCAATACAATATCGTTGTCACTGATGTTACGTGACTTTAAACAATTATATGCTGTTTATAGCAATAGCAATTTTTTGTAAACAAAAAAAATAAAGGATGATAAAATGATGGATTTCAATGAATAGAAAGTTCGTCATGAGGGCACGAAAAAAGGTCGGACCCATTTTTAACTTTTGTATTAATAAATATTTATTTTTATGAGTCGTTAAAGAAGTCTGTTTTTTTTAATTAATGACCTTTACATATTAACGAGCGAATGTATGTACATAAAAAATTCTATTCTTAACGATAATTGACGTCTCTAGCTTTGTAACACATGATGCATGAAACTATATAAACTATAAGAATACGAGTCTTGAAGAAATAGCAGTAGTGAAATCGTAAGAAAGAGATAGCTTTCTGCAGTTTCTACAGAACTCTTTTGCGCAAACAGAGTCATACTTGACAGTTTTATTTATAGTATACTTACAACGTTCATACTTGCACTCTAACGCACTTCCATATTCGTTTTAAACCTAAAATATTTTTCTCTCGTTTTTCCTCTATTTCTCTTTTACACCCTGTCAATTTATCTTTATCTTTTTCTTACTTCCATTCGTCTGATCTGCTCTTTCATTCTCCAGATCCAACACATTAATAAAAATAAAAAATTCCTAGGATAAGATTCCTATCACTCAGCCTTTAGGTCTTATACAAAGTGCAGTAAGCTTTGCGAAAATCACGTTTATAATTACAGTATGAATCATTTTATCTAGATAAATAATAAAAAGTATTTTAGTTTCAATAAAAATTTATAAAATTGTTAAAATGAAACTGTATAACCCATTAAGTTGTACTATCATCGAATTCAATTCACTCATCCTGAAATAGAATTTGTTTCATTTATTTGATAAAAAATAACGACAAAGTATTTCCCTATTGAAATTGATTTAACGAGGCAAAAAATCAACTCTACTATAAATGTAATGTGAGAATATAAAAATTTTTATTGTATCACAATAAAATAAAATAACAATAACCATTCATGTGGATTATTTACTGTTATTCAATTAAAATATTTCAATAATATTTCGAAAGTTTATACATAACTACTCTTGACATAAATTAAAATAGTTTTTGCAAAATTGTCGTATAATTTATTTGCAAACTTTGAATAGCTTTATCTGAATTTCCTTGACCACAAATGATGTCCTAAATATTCTCAACAAGTGTTTACAACAATTCTGAATAACGTATTTACAAATTTTTTATCAATATATGACTGAACTACTAGTCAATTAAATAATTATTTTATTAATTATTGATAGAGGTAGATGTATTTATTATATTATTTAATATATTTGAAGGATTGTTTCGAATTTAATGGGATTAAACAATTCTAAAAGTAAAGAATATCTTTCCATATTTCTTGATATAGAAGAATATGACGTGTATTTCGAGAAAATTTCAAAGGAATTTTTTCTAATTCTAGTTTATCCATGTCACGTTATTATGTTATAACCTTATCTGGGTAAGTAAATTTTTCTGTGAAATGACTGAGTAAATATATGTACAAGCTTCAACAAATAATATAAGAAAATAATGAACGGAAGGAAAACAATATAAAAAAATAGTGCTACCAAGTAACAAAGCTATTGACTAAATCAACACACAGTTCATTCATTGATCTATCTACCAGGTAAAATAAAAATTGAATCGAATCAATATAGAAATATTCATGTCTCTGTTAAATTTTCACGATCGATCCTGAATAAACTGAAAAAGGTTTTACCTTAAAATTATCATTTCAATCAAAATAAATGCGATATTGTTTGTTTCTTAGTTATAACAACCTTTTATATACAGTCACGTAATATTTTCCATCTTACATCTAGGTTTGTTCGTTAGCTTAGAAGTTTGCGTGTTGCAACATCGTACCATTGCAACTTCTGCACTTTAAGCGGATGGAGAGCGTCGAAATTTGACGACGTCACGCTTAGGATTATGTACAGCACCTCACATTTTTTATTGCCTTGAAACCGCAGGGAAAATAACAGCACAACTACTTGGGATTAATTTTGCTCAACGTTAATGAAATTATTACTGTGATAATTTTTTGGTTTGACACTCTGCTTTCTTAATGAACGAGAGAATAGCTAGTAGTTTTTACTGATTCAATTTAAGATAATTGTATAAATAATGTTTATAACTTGTCTTTAAAAAGTACAATGAAAAAATAATTCACGAAAAAAAGAAGGAAGTAAGTCTGATCAAACTCATGCATTTCTACTAGTTAAAAAAAAATTATTTATCCTTTTCCGATGCAGTCTAGGTTTAGTCTCTATTCTTCCTGTCTTTTGACTCTGTTACTTTCCTAGATCTATCTTAGATTTACTCCAAAACTACTCCACAGTA